TTAGTCCATGTTATTGTCCGTCATGGTTGTTGTTTTTCTTCCCGCTTGGGAGTAACGGCGTATCAATGACGATCCGGTCGGATGAATGCGACCTGGACTTTGGGTCAAATTTGAATCGAATATGTATTGGATATAAAAGTGGCCGTGGTAGCATTCGAAAAAAATCCGACCTGTGTTCAGACTATCATGAAAAGGTCAAATACAGGTCGCATTACTCAAAAAAAAAAAAAAAAAAAAAAATCGGAATTGGGTTACTTCAGGCTAAGTCTGAACGCAGCCTTACTTTTCTTTCTAGCAAGGAGGAAAGGAAAGCTAACTAGTTAGCTAGCTTAAGACTGTCTATCTATCTATCTATGGCACGAGATTGTCTTTTATTTCACATGAAGTAAACTTTGTCATGACAGATTGTGTCATTTATTTAATCATATTTCAGAAGAAGATGCCTCACTGGCAACAGTTGGAATATTTTAGCAGAATTATTTATTTTATCTCAATTGTCTTTTCATGGATTGTTTTTTGAGTAAAAAGAGCAACACAGAGACTTTCACTAACTTTCAAAGGCAATAATCTTGATGTTCTCAAATGTACCAATGTAAATTTGCTTTACTTTTATGTTCGCAGATTCCATGTGTGCAATGGAAACAGCAGCTGGTTTGTATTTTGCAGTGCTGGTTATGATCCGTAGCGTTTGATCTGCCGCCTGTTTGCCTGCTACCATGCCATTGGGGGGTGAAGCACTCCTTTGGGAGCTGAGAACCTTCATCTTGTGCTGGCAGGAGAGGACGGCCGCCACACCTTGAGCATTCTGAGCTTTGAGGCCATTAGTGCATCTCTGCAGAGCTCTGGCGTGCAACTTCATTTGTATTTTATGTGAAATTTATATTTATAAAAAGTGTTTTATAAAAGTGTGACATAGGCATACCACAGTTAACTTAGTTTCTAGTCCAAGGAAGACTGGAGCATGTGACTTACCAAAGAAGCTCTTATGAAAATTATTAATTATTAATGAGAACTACTTAAATGCCAGACTTCCAAAATGTTCTCCCAAAATGGCTGCTGAAAATATAGCTTTAAACTACTCCTTTTCTAACTTCCTGCATGTTTCAGTGCAAATCCGTTAAATAAAAATAATAGTACCTGCTGCTTGACTACATTTTTTGAAAGTGTTTCTGTCTGTGAGTATGAGAGGAAGAAAATAAACTTACACTCAACAAATACACACAGTAAAAAAAAGTCAGTGTTCACAGTTTCTACAAAATCCGATGTTTATTTTATTTTTATGTCTTAGTTTATTGCTTTATCTTTATATATATATATATAGCCCTCTTATACAGATTTTCTTTGCAAACTGCATATCCAATCAGCCTCCAAAACTCTGATACCCCTCAGTTACATCAAGTGAAACCACCTTCAGAAGTTACCTTAAATTGTAAAGTCAGTTTGTGTGTAATTGATTGTATAACCTCGGCGGCTCTGTGAAAGCCTCAGAGGTCTGTTAAAGATAATTGGTGAACCAGTTCACAAAGACAAAGAGACAGCAGAAATATCATTTCTGGAAAAGCTTAAAGCAGATTTAGGTGATGAAGTAATATCGTAAGATTTGACATTCTCACTCAGCATTGTTCAATTCATCCTTTGTAAATTGGAAAGATTATAGCACATCTAGAAGCTTATGAAGACATGGCCGTCCAGGTAGAGCAAAGTTTCGCATTTCCGCTGCCTGGTATATTGCAGACGTATCGCCGTTCCAGAAACACCTGATTCAAATGACTGCATGACAGGACAGTGGTTCCTGAGGATTGAGAAGCACTGACCTAGAGTCACTGGCCATGCAGGAAGTCAGTGAATCAGATCATTTGAGAGACTTATGCGAACACTGGAGAAGGCTAACTATTGTTGCACGCTACATATCTGACGTCATGATAAGAGAAAAAAGCCACAAGTCAGGTGGGAAACGCACTAAGCATTTAGAAAGAGACTCCAGTTTTATTACGATATCTTGTGCTATTACTGTGGTAACAATAAAGAGTGATTCATTACTACATTTTAAGGTAACTATATGACTGTGACTGTGTGTCACAGCAGTTATAGAAATACCATTGGTAGCACGCATCTTTAGAACAGCAGACACATGATGAAGCGTGATTTGTATCATGACACTGCAAACATATTTTCAAATGTATTGACAATTATTGATGCTTTCATTGAACAAACAGTGGAGAATGTAGTAAAAATTACAATCTTGGCAATACAGTTTCTTTTTTAACATTAACTGGAATTTATCATGACAAGTATTATTATCACGTTAAAGAATGTATTGTGGTATTTGATAAATGATGTACTTTTCTTGTAACTGGCTGACGTGTCTGTGGAAAATCATTTTTCTACATGTCTGATGTAATCTCCTAATTTTCTGCTCACTAAATTTTTAGCTTCCATTAGCTGTAAGCAGCAGTCATCAAAATTTTAAATATATCACAGCGTGTGTTCAGTCAATCCAATTAATAAACGAGTTTCGCTTTTTGAGCCGAATTGCAGAAATAAATTACCCTTCCAACAATATTCTGATTTATTGAGCTGTATATATGTGTGTGTGCATGTCCACGTGTGCGCACACACACACACACACACACGACTGTTTAAGTGGTGCACATTTTTAACTGTGGAACAAAAACTGTGTTTTTGGTTGGACCATTTTGATGACCTATGTCACACAAGATGGAATATATTCACCAAACAAATCTGTTTTTTTTGTGCTTCAGTGTTTGGACAAGATGGAGTGAAATGACCTTCAAGCAGAGAACACTTGGAGAACAACGTACCTTTTTGTGTTTTGTATTCAAAAATCTCTGCATCTTGTCCTGGATTGAAGTGCCTGAAGTAAGTGCAGTTTTCATCTGTGAAAATAGGGGGGCGGGGGGGGGGACAGATTTCAGTGTCAAGCCCTGCAAGGCGAAATAGCTTTAAAAATATTTAAAGGAGATGTTAAATCTAAAGTATTAGTGTGAAGCTGCCCAATTTACACATAAATCAAAAGTAATTAAGATACAAGTCTTAATTGCTATGCCTTTTAGGATAAAACTAAATGTCTATATGTCATAAATTGAAACAAAAATAATAAATAATCAAAATCAATGTAAGTTTTCATCCTGCAGCTGGGAAAGTTAAAATGTTTCACGCATCAGAAAGGACATTCAATGTGACGATTAACGACTTCTCATCCTGAACTGTCTCTCTGACGTCGGGTGTGCCTCAGGGCTCGATCCTCGGGCCCATGATGTTCTCACTGCACAGGTGAGCGCCAAACACAACCTCCAGTTTTGTTTTTATGCAGATGATGTACAGGTTTATTTGCCAGTTGTCCCCAACAGCATAAATACATCGGAATCTATGCTAAATGGGTTTTAAGAATTTCTGCACCTGAATGAAAATAAAACATTCTGTGTTTGACTAAAATAAAAAAATAATAAAACATTGTTACAGGAGTTTTTACTGGACTGTTGCTTTGTCTTAGATACTTCACCTTCTTTCTTCCTCAGCTGAACCACTGAACCTTTTCACACTCCCATTTAAGTCTTGCCCCGCTTCTTTTCACACCATTACGGGAAACCCTACTGCTCAATAACGTCTGGCCTCTCTTAGCACACTTCACACCGTCTCAGCTCTGTCACATTTACGCTCTAAAAGCATCTTAAAACTGACACCCTCCGGATAACATCGACGGTAAAAACCGGTTCCCATTCATAAAATGCTCGGCTTTGTGCTGCAACTGCGGTTACAGCACAAATCACGGTTCTGTGTTTTTTCCTGCAGATGATATGCTAAAGCTTTGGGATTTGCTTGAGTAAAAATGGAGTTGCTCAGTGCGCCCATGGAGTGATTTGGTAGAGGAAAGATTCTTTGATGTTGAGCCACGTCGACAAAATGTTGAATCCAGTTTAGGAGTAGTCTGGAATTAATGTCAAATCTAGAACACGTTTTACTTTTATCGCTCACTTTAGATGATGAGAGCCAAGGCCGTTTACCACACATCCTGGAACTGTACATGCTATATGAGCTTAAGACAGAAAGCATCAAATATAAAAAAATAATTAATAAAAAAACTGCTTGAGATATCACGGTAAAGGATTAATCTAAGTCAGTGTAAAAAAAAAAAAAAAAAATCAGCCCTCAATTAGTAAGAAATAAACGTCGTTGTGTGGAAATGTGCAAAAAAAACAAAGCAATATAGCAAGTACTTAATTTTCCATGTTATGAAAATGTTCATAAATCTGAAACAACACAAATTATCTTATTTGCAGAGGGAAAATGATCTTTCTAAGGCTTCCCAACCCCAGCTTTCACTGTCATGTACCACACTGTGTGGGCTCGCATATAAATAAAGATGTTTTTATGAATGAGAACAGGGACTGGCCATAAAGAGAAGGAAGATCGAAAGATGGTTACCAAGCAACAAGCCCCACTGTTTTCACTGTTGACGGCACATAAGAGGTGAAATAGAGGCTTGTCAATGAGTTGTACCTCTGAGTCAAAGCTGACGGAGAAATGAAAGGCTTGGTAACAGCCTCCAAATCTCAGAAAATAGTTTTTTATTTTCCTGTCATGAAAAGGCAATCAAAGCTGCTATTCTTATTTTATTTTATTTTTGTAGGTTATGGTGGGTGAACAGACAAGAAAGTTAAAATCCAGCCAGTGGTGTACACAGATATTTTGGGAGAAAAGATGGTAAAGTATTAAAGAAGGGGGCTACCTTAGTACTGTTTGATTTAATTTGGGCACAGACCAGATTGTAAGCAAAAAAGAGGGATTTCAGAAGGGCACTTTTTGTTCAGAGGACAAAGGGCAGATGCTCTAGCACCAAACTGTCAACATTACCACACAAGATTTATCTGAAAAGTTTAACGCATTAATATTACATGATCAGATTACCTATTTTGACCTAAATGCCACTCGACACACTGGACACGACAGTGACAGCAGCGACAAAAGTAGGAACATTTTTCAACTTTCCTGTGTTGTGTCTCTAGCTGTCTGTGTGTACGAGTTTGGAATTTCACTCACAGGAAATTTGTCGGCCTCTTTGGCTGAAGGAGGACAAGCGATTGTACTGGGCTCGGCATTACTTATTACAATGCAGAGTTGCAAAAGCAAGTGGAAAAAACCCAATGGAAGCTTTTATCCAGCTTCCAATACCTAAAATACAAGCACTCTGTAGTTGACATTTCTAAATTAACCTTTGAAACAAAATAACTTCTTTTAAATTCTTCTGAAAATGAAAACCTGGAAAATTGAGACTCTTCAGACCATTTGATTTGAGAAAACAGAAAATTTTCTGAAACATTTTCTGAAAACTTGCATATTTATATGTCAAGCTTACAAAGTTAAGCATAGTGATTAATTGTGATTAATCGCAGCACTAATTGTGATTAATCGTGATTATTTTTGATTATTTTTTTTAAATCATTTGACAGCACAAAGACAATGGTATTTACTCCTAATTTTAAAGCTATGTGCCCTAGCCATTTAACAATACAACACAAGAAAGTTGAAAAATGTTGTACTTTTGTCATTGCTGTCACTATTGCGTCCGGTGTGTTGAGTTTACCCTGAGTGGTTTATGGGACAATTCAAAGTTAAAGGTGGGTACCATGTGTTGGCAATTTCCACTGATTTTCTGAACCACCCATTAACCTGTCATTCACGAGAGGACCCAAATTTGGGTCCTCTCGTGACAGGGGTGTCAAACTCCAGTCCTCAAGGGCCTCTGTCCTGCAACTTTTAGATGTGCCTCTGCTGCACCACACCTGAAAAGAATAATTAGGTCATTAGCAAGGCTCAGGAGAACCGATCTACACAGGGAGGAGGTAATTAAGCCATTTCATTCCACTGTTTTTTACCTGTGGCACATCTAAACACTGCAGGACAGCGGCCCTTGAGGACTGGAGTTTGACACCCCTGTTAATTGTGAATGACAACCTGTGAACAACAGGTTAAAGACTGAGTAATGACCTAGGTGGGGCGCCCGACTGTTTTTACCAATGCGATTTGTATTTATACAACACGCCTATCTTGATCCCAGAACCACTTAGTACACATTTAATCTTCACAAAATCCCAGTGGGGCCCACATGGGTGGGGCGGTCACATGCCAGTTTCCCCCCTATTTCCTGCCACCATAACAGGAAGTCATTACCTTTCCCAAGCTTTTTTTTTTTTTGTTCTCATTTTACACTTTTTCAATAAACTATAGCAAATATGAAGACAAACAAATTTCAAAAACTTTAACACTGTAATTATCTGTGAAAATGTTTCGGGTCCCTCAGTGGCACTCTGACACTGTGTTTTCTCTATTATTGGCCCTTGTCTTGCTGACTGTGCTGACATGTTGTGTAACGCCTTTCTTGTTCTAAATAGGGCAGTCTGTCATGTTTCCAAGAATCAGGTGAGAACGCCGGTTTTAGCGTCTCCGCACGCCGTCATGTTGCTTCCCTGTCTTTTTTTGATGCGTGCCATCGATTCCCTTTGTCAGAAGAGGAAATGTTAGGGCCACTAACCACAGCCAAAGTCTTAAGATAATCCAAATTTAGTCGATTTTACAAAGTCGAAAACTCTGGACGCCAGATAAAGTGTAAAGACGTTGCAGACATTCTGTCCGCCTGTTTGATGGGTTGGTTGTAAACTTGGTAGGATTGATCCCCAATCTGTTTTGGAGTATACCGCCTGTCCCGGTGCAGTGCGAAGTAATTTGAGTCCTGCAAGGAGACGTGGTGCTGTAGTCAGGTCTTGAGGGAAGGGTTTGATGGTGCTGCGGGTCTCAGAGTTATGCCAGACTCTGCCATGAGGCCCTGTCACTCAGGGAATCCACAGGCTTGTGCATGAACACTTGACCCCCATGGCTCTGCCCCAGCACAGCTGAGTATTTACATGCCTTATTTTTGTAGCTAACAGCAGTGCTTCACTGCGTGCAATATAAAATAAATCGCACGCTTCCTATTTCTGGAACCTCTCAGATAGTTATTGTATTGGCCCTGTTGCAGCACCGTGGCCATGGAAACGGCCAAAGTCCTGGCCTGAAAGTTTTTCAAGCAGAAAAGGTTTGAGAGCTGAACGGAATAACCATCGTTGCCTATTTATAACCAGTAGCATCTGTGAATAGCGATTAAACTAAAGACGATAATCAGAATAAAGTTTTCTGTCCTTGGATTGAAGAAAGCCATTAACAACAGAAATAAGTCACCATCTACTTGTCAGCATTCTGCTAAAAACAGGGCAACCCACACTTTCCACTTGTGGATCTCCTCGCCAAATGCTTTTTCATTAGATGTTGACAACTGTCTGCAGGCATGTATCCAAAATTATCAATGACTTCCCTCAGCAAATCCTGCCAGCTGGGAATCCATGCTCTCTGGAAAGATTTGAGAATTTCCTTTGGAGAATAATTAGCCTAATTTGAGAGAGATTGTTTGGTTTGTTATTTATTTACACAATTATTTTAGCAAAATTAATTAAATGCCACGGTCAACCATAGCGAACCGCTGCCACTCATAAATAATCAACATTATTAGTTACGGTGCTTTGAACTTAAAAGTGATTTTCAAAACAGAAAAAAAAAATACTAGATGCCACTTTAGTCAGCCATATTGGTTATACCAAAAATACTTTAGTATTTAGAGTGACTGATCAATAGATTAAAAATCAATTCTCTCAAAGGTTATTGATTTCAATTCAAATTCAGCAAATTAGTTTTTGAAACATTACTTTTTCAAAGTGTTTTTCTTCACCTCTGGTTTGCTTTGTGAACTGCTTGTTTGAACAAATTTAGCTTGGAGCTAATTTGGTCTCACCAACAAAACCGATCAACACAAACCTTGGTCTTTGAGAGTACATATTCACACCACGTAATGGTGGTGTGAATATGTACACCATATTATATGGTGTGTGAATATGTACACCATATTATATAATATAGAAAGATATTATATATCTTTCTACAGGTTCTTTCATGCTCATTCTTGCATATTTTGTGTCTGTGGGAGGAATCCATGTAATAATCTGGTATAAACTAATCTGAATCAGTTGAAAACAAATTTAACCTCATTTCCAGTTTTTCGTCGTTTCATCGTTTTTCTGGCTCTATTTTTACATGTATATTCTTTCCGTTTTACTTTTAGTAGTTTATTTCCTCATTATTTCATATTTTACTTAAATGTTACTGACTTAGTAAGTTTATTAATTAAGTTATTAGCCGGTTGAATTCTTTCTGTTTAACTTTTTTATGCTGGAGAGACGTTGTTTGGTCATTTTGATCCAGATTACTAGCTTTATTGCTAATTACTTTCAGCATTTATTAACAGTTATTCATAGCTAACCTAGACTATTGTTGCACAGCATTAAGATGATCACATTCATTTGTTTTTACTGTGAATAAATATTATCCTAATTACACGCAACTTTTGCAGATAAAAACTCTGGAATCCAAAATATGTGCCACCTGTCGCCGTCGTCTGGAGAGCTTAACATGTGCCCGGGTGGGTCAAATTATTGAGAAAATCCGGCACGTCTGCACCAAGCGAGCCGCGCCTCGGGCGTTTCAGCTGTTCCTGAGAGACCTGCGGTGCAAACAGAGTGCAGGCATCCCAATCGCCGCCGTCAGTCAAGAATTAGCTTAACTTTGTGAGTAGAAGGGATTTAGAAAGGTGTCTATGGTCATGTTGTGAAAAGCTGACAAAAAAACAACAAAAAAAACGTTTAACAGCTGCCTGACATACAGTGTGATAAGTGCTGCTCATATAATGGTTGACATTTGGGGGGAGGGCACGCTGCATTGTACATATAAATACGAGCAATTTTAGGAACATCTAATTGTATGAGCACCTTTTTGTTATCTTTAAACCCTTCACTTCCCTCATGACGGTTACGAGGTATTAAATAGTTTCATTTAGGTTAAAGCTGCACAAAATTCAAACATTTTCTAGACTCATTAGCTGTTTGGTAGTGATCTAAAAAGCAACCCACGAATTTCACTACCGATTATAGTATTAAAAAACAAACAATTTCCTTTTCCATGTCCCTTTAACAATGACAGACTTAAAAAAAAAAAACACATCATTTTCACCACTTTCAGTACAATGGAACATAATTCTTTTGTACGCAGTTCATAACTTTTCACCATTAGATGTCTGTAAGTGTTTCTGTTTCATAAACTATTCTCAGCAGGTTTTGTGGCAATCACTGAGGGAATAAACTGTTTAGCTGTTGTGAAATGTAGTGTTTTTTGGTGGTCTCTTTACACTCTGTAGCTTATGAACTGTAGTTTTTCTGGCTGGTACCTGCAGCAGTCTGATTAAGTCTTCACACTCCTGTTGTTTGCAGAGCCCAGACGTCAGCACCCTCTTCAACCCAGAGAGCCATTTTGTTTTCGGTTCTGATAAATATAATTAGTCCTGAGCCACAAAACCTAAACCCTCCTTCAAAAAAGAAAAGAAAAGAAAAAACCCTGAAATAATTAGTAGATGCTGTTTTTTGTTGTCGTTCTTTTAACCACATAAACTGCAGTAAGAAGCATGTCAGCTATGAGTGATACTGTCAGTTAATATAATAATAATGTAATACAAGGCTTTGGAGAAAGTATTTGGCCTATTGCACTTTTTTGTTTTTAATGGAAAGTCATGTTGGTTTGGTTTGGATGACTCTCGATCCTCAGTAAATAAAATCAGCAACTTTGTCTAATATTATTATGTTTGATGACCTGAAAAATCACAGTGTAACAAGGAGAAAGAAACAGAAGAAATCTTCAAGGGGGGGTTAACACTTTTTCATAGCAATGTAGAAAAAAAATCCACTCATATTATAGAAAGTTAGTGACAATTTGAAGCTGTTTTCTTGTAGCAAACTATTTTTTTCACTTTAACCAAATTAAACAGCAACATAAATGATGTGTCCAAGAAGTTGATTTTGATCCATATTACTAGTTTTACTACCAATTACTTTCAGCAATTATTAGTAGCTATTCATAGCTAAACCAGACTATTGCACAGCATTATGATCATATTAATTTGTTTTTACTGTGAATAAATGTTATCCTAATTAGATGCAACTTTTGCAGATAAAAACTCCAGAATCCAAAATTTGTGCCACCAATCACCACCGTCTGGAGAGCTCAACATGCATATTAAATACTTTTAAATTAATATTTATCATATAAATACTAATATAAGCGCTTTGCACATCTAAAGCATGGTGAACGGCTATTTTCCCGTAAAAAAAAAAAACCTGTTGTAAAACCTATTGGTGGTCCTCAAATTTCACATCAAGTCTAGGGGTCTTATTTGCCTCTGAACTATGGCGCGGTTCGATTATAGCGCATGGCATTCTGGGTAATGCCATATACATGCATTCTCACCAACAACGTGACTCGTGGAAAATGTGAAAAAACGAAGAAATAACATCTCACTAGAGGGAGAAATGGTTCGGTCTTTTTCCAAACACAAAAGGGAAATCCTACAACCGTTAAAATCTGACGCCACTCCATGTTTGTTTACACTTTGTAAAGAAGGAAGTTTAGCTCATGTCTTCTTCTGAGGTTTTTGTGTTTTTTCCCCTCTGGGTCTTGTTGTAGCGCCAACACAGGTGAGGAGGGGAACAGGTTTTTCAAAGGAATCATTTGACAGTGCAATTGAAATCGAACTGCATTGGTTGAAAATGTAACAAATGTCACCATTTTGGTCTTCTATCGAAGTCTACCGAACCATCAGGTGTGAAAACACCCTGAGATACTGTGTCTTTACTTTCTACAATAGAATTATTTATGCATTCTTATTAAAAAAAAAAAAAAAAAGAGATACTACTTTCAATATCTCAAAAAGTATCTCAAAAGTTTGGACACTCCTGATTGAGTACCTCAACGGGGATTTCTCACAGTCACGTGACTTCCTCTGTTAGACCCTCTATTCTTAGCTTCAAGCTTAACAGGAGAGGCTGTGGTGCAAAAGGCTATAGCTGCGCTTTGTGGGGCTAAATTGTTTGCCACATTCAAAAACCTAAACTTTTACGATTCGTTTTGACATTACTGATGAGTTAGAAAGTGTTTTGCCAGAATTTTGTTTTTGTCTTACCTCCAGGCAGGCTGATTGGTCCGCAGCCATGCCCTTTCTCGTAGTTCTGCTCGGTGATGTAGATGTGCTTCTTGCACAGCCTCCAAAGGCCAAAGTGTGCCGCCTCGCAGGTCTCATTGAACCTCACCACCGGTGGGCTCAGCACTGCCCAGTGGTCCGTTACCACCGCCGTGAACATGCACGCCATGCCCACCACCAGCACGAAGATGGCGATCTTTATCTTGGTGCGCTTGTGCATATTTCCCAGTTGGTGCAACTTCTAGTCAGTTAACAACAACAACAACAAAAAGTACGTAAGACTCGATATTCTGATCTGAAACTCTGAGACTTCTTCCCCTCGGTGGGCCGCGGTAAGTCTCAGGGAAAAAACGTCGTTGTCCTTTCCCTCTCTCCACCCAGGACGAATGTCTTCTCTCTCGCTACTGCAAATCTGTGCTTCTGGTTCGAAGGGAAGGGGGCCAGACTCCTCTGTCCTACTTTCATGTCCCTCTTTCCCCTCACACTGTGAGCCGCCACTCTACAGACGGTTCACAAAGTCAGCTGTTGGGGTAGATCAGAGAAGTTGATGACCAGACTGCCATGCTGGGGAATGGGTGTGTTTCTCAGGGTGTTGTATGCTATAAATGACCATTGAGTCAGGCTCTGCGCTTATCCTATTACAGTATCACTGTGTTGAGATTAGCAAAGTGCCATTAAAAGAGTATTAGCATAACACTTTTATTTATAATAATGCAAGCTGAATTTTGAAGAAGTACCTTTAGGAGGGTATCAAATAGTCTCTCTTTTGCTTGTTTAAATGCCATATGATATTGTTGAGTCAAAGCTCTGTGATGTCTTTGTATGGATTTGTCTCTTTATACTATATTTATAAGAAGAAACTGTTTGTGTCTAAGATGAGCTGTGACTGAAGACAGGAACACTTCCCATATGCAAAGGCAGTACTTTGAAATTGATATTAACTTTTGAAGAAAACTCTGTGTCCGCAGTAAATCAGCTCTGTCCTCTAGACTTCTACAGCAAATCAAAAGCTCCTTTAAAACAAAAACTCACCATGAGGTTCAAGAAATAAAGAAACACCAACATGTAACAAGCTTCTTTTGATTCAGAAATTGTACTAATACAAATATCACATTGTATTGTAGCCTGTTATTTTACTGGATCCTAATATTAAGGAAAACCTCATGCTGAACAGCTTTTGCTTGTACAACTTCTTTTAAAAAAAAAGTCACAGTGAGGTTCTGCCGATCAAATAACCTTTTAACCATTAAGCGGTTATCAGTTATTGGATCATTAGTCAATGAGTAATATGACTCTGTTGCTCAGTGGAAACCTCGCCGCAGTAATTCAAAGACGTGTCAGAGAGCAGCAGTCCAACACTTAGGTACATGATCCACCAGCTGCTTTGTTACAGAGGCTGTTGACCGCTGGAGTAAATTACACCTTTCTTATGCCATCGGGGGGTACTGTACCTTCGGTTGCCTTGGTGACCAGGCAGTCGCTCAACCTGTACTGGGGTTTTTGCTGCTCCTTCTGCAGCACGGTAAAATAAAAGAGGTAAACTGCAAATTCAGATTTTGTTTACTCTGCAACTGTGTTCACATATTGAAAACAACATTGGCAGAATGTTTAAGTAGCTCCTACTTCTAGTATCTTTAAGAGAGCAAACATGGAGCCTTCAATGGAGGTGGGCGGATCGATTCAAAATATCAATACAGAGTCAGTTTTGGTATCGGATTGATGTCAGCATTGTAAGAGCAATACTTAAGTTTCAGATTCCTTCTTGAGATGTAGTTTCACTTTGTATTGATTTTATTTTGATTTGCTTCCAAATGATAATTTTTTTGTGCCTTAGTTCAGAAAAATGCACACATATTATGTTAATATATTAACCCTATTAAAGTATTTTGTCGACAGCTGCAAATGCTGTCCTACAAAATAATTAAAAGGAAAAACTACAAAAATGCCAAAAGGTCAGAAGTTAATGATATATCAAACTTAAAAAGTATCGGTATCACTATTGACATCGGCGATACGGGCCCTGTATTGGCTGGGTATCGCATCAATACCAAAAAATGCTATATCACACTCCTCTACCCTTTAATTAGTCATTGAGGTAGTGCATGGGATGATTCATAGATAAAAATATACAACCTGAAGTTATAAAAAAGGATACAGGATATCACTATGAGTCACAATATAATATTTAAAGACTCAAGTTTAGTAGCTAAACTTGTTCTCTAAATACAGCCTCTGAACTTGTCTGATTCTTCAAAAAAAAAAAGTCTGAAAGTTGACAGAACAATTTGAATTTTAGCCTTAAACTAACTCTTTTCATTCAGATTCAGATTTGAACAAATCATTTACATTTTGGCCAAGCGAATAAAAAATATTTTGAAATCATCACTGTCTCACTATTTATTACCCAAAGATCAGAACCAACCTCAGTCTGTGGAGCACGTACAATGTTAAAATGCCACACTGGTTTGATAAGTTACTTTTTGACATGTCCTTGGAAATGGCTGATATTGCAAAAGCTGTATTTGACTGATTATCTGTTGCTAATGAATTTCTGGAGTTCTAGTAGAAAAAAATGTGACAAACTGAGAACTAGACTGTGAATTTTGACAACCGTCCCAACCCTACTCCTCACCAATCCACTCAGAATCAGTATCCTAGTCATTTATATTGTTGCAGTTGCATGATACCATCAGCTGTATTCTTGGAGGAGCAACTGTTCATGCTCATAAATCTGGGAAAGGATATAAGGTCATTTTCCAGTAATTTGGAGTTCATAATTCTGCAGTGAGAAAGATTATTCACAACTGGGAAAAAACATCCAACAAGGCTGCCAGTCCTCCCAGTGGAAGACTCCACCAAGGTCACCCAGAGGTCGGATCATGCCATGCTCACAGAAACGGCTAAACTCCCGAGAGTTACATTCCTGACCCTACGGACTACAGTTTGCATGTTAGATGATGACAGCGGAATTAGAGGAATACTGAACCGGTTTGGCCAGTGATGATGATGAAAAGGTTTCCATGAACCAACTTTATTTCTTCTAAAGTCCTTAAATTATTTGAATCAGTTTTAGGTAACAATTAACGTACTCAACACAAACAAAGAAAACAATTTAGTCCTTAAATTGTTCTGTGTGTTAAGGTGGAAAGCTCAGTAAGCTAAACATGACTTTGAAAAGCCTTTGTTGGTGATGACAACTTTAAACTCCCTTTAAATCTTGACAGTTATGGGAGCCTCTCCTGATGCACTTTGACCTTCAGTTTTTTCAATAGATTTTAAATTTGGTTCAAGTTGAAGGATGAAAAAAGTCCATCCAAGCTCATCTTAGCAGATTTATAACAGAGAGTTTTCTTGGCCATATGTTTGCAATCACTACTTTACTGAGAAATTCACTCTAATTTTATCAACCTCTCATCGTGAATATCCTGGTCCATTTCTCCATTCATCCTGACTTCTCGTGATCTCAAAAGTGGTTTCTTCATACTTTTTTAGTCCCTCATTGCATCAATTATTTCTTTGGCTTCTCCTAATATTATCTGGCAAGCTTCAGGTTGTCTTTCTTCATCAGTGGAGCCTTGCGCAGTGAGCATGCTTAGATGTAATTATGCTTTGTGTGAACCTTGGTGAAGGAAAACCGTTTCATAAATTATCAATTGGGACAGCAGCAGTTGTTTTTAACCAACACTTCTAAGAAACAACAGATTTCAACCTATTTTGCTTGGCTTTTTTTTGTTTGTATTGATTTGATGTGTGGATTACTCTGGACGTGTGATGAATCGACTGGTCTGTTTTCTTGCTCATGTCGTTTCTCCTGGCTCGTCATTCACTCTCCCTGTCTGCTTCCTCCACTTTCCCTCATGTGGATCTGATCTCACTGATTACCTCCACCTGCCAGGTTTCTATTTATTTGCCTCGCGCCCTCGGGTTCAGTGTGAGATCATCTGTTGTCATCAGTCCCAGCTATGAAGCTGTTCGTCGACCCCGCCTATCCTCCAACCGTTGCATTTGCCTTCCGTTTTTTTTTTTGTTTTTTTTTTATACAGTTTTTGACCTTTGCCTGGATTTTGACCCCGACTATTGTTTTTCACATTCTAGACTGCTTCTGCTCTTTCTGGATACGGTAACCCTGGACTCAGTTCCCATTAATCAGCGCTTTGGGCTGAGGTTGTAGTCTGAGGTGTTTTGGAGGACAGGTGATCAAGTGCGGGGGAGAAGGGGGCATATACTTAACAGTTAAATCATTTGCCTCAGTCCTCGCACGCAAAAGGGTTAAGATGTATGAAAAAACTAAGGTTATTATGTGTACAACATAACCCTAATATGCACATAGAATACAAGCTTTAAAACAAACATACATTTGAAATGGTTTCCTACCTTCTATCTTTCAAAAATAATTTTTTTTTGTAGATTTCAATCAAAAATCTTTCCCAGTAAAAACTACTTAAGTCCATTCTATTTCACTTTTTTAAAACAATGTTTCACAAAGCAGAGGAAGAGTTTGAAAAAAAAAAAGGCCGTGTTTCTGAATCATTTAAATAACTTCAGCGAGATTCATGAAAGATACATAAACACCCGTAGGATTTTTGTATTTGCTGTCAATATTTTTTTTTTTTTTTTGTAGAATTTTTATGAAACTGTCTGTACCTTTTGGTGTGTTCAAATCGAGGGATTTTTATTAACCTTTTGAAAGAACGCACGCCAGTAAATCAGCTTTATTCACCTTAGCTTTGTGAAATACTCAACATAAAATATCTAAAAGAGAAATTCAACTTGCAGTAAAGGGATATTACAAATAATGTTTCCACCCTTTTCATAGCCCTCCTGTAGGAAATCAGCTCACCTTGAGTCTCTTCAGAGCAGCTGTTTACTACTTTCCTTTTGCACAAGCAGAGGTCCCACTCAAAGTCAAATATTTAACAATAATAAATGGTATAGATACTCATAAACCATTCAGTCTCAAAAATCACTTGGAGACAGTAGTTATTTTCACTGTTTTCTGTGCAGTAAGCTGTGCATTTCTCAAAAATGATGGCTATTTAATTATGAGAAAAATCAACATGGGCTAAAGATTAAAGAAAATAAGAATTAAATTAATAATCAAACTAAGACATGATTGCTCATAATTAACAGAGCTAAAGACACAAACGAAACAAAAAATCGGATTTACTTTAGAAGCTGCCAGTAAACACAGGAATTGATGTTAAAAATCTAAAGCTGATTAAAGATGGAAAATTCATTAAACATTTATCTGTCCCTGAAGTAAAGACTTTAGCAACTGTGATTCTGATCTCTGACTGAAATTTGAGAGAGAAATCACGACTGGAAGAAGTTTTAATCATCACAGCGGTTGTGGTAACCAATCTGGATAAAGTGACTGAGGGACTTTTAAAAAGAGCAGCAACACCTGACCTGAAGGACATCGACTGGTTTGCCCCTTTGACCCTCCATCACACTGACGCCATCGCCTGACAGCTGAGAGTTGGCAGTTTGAGTCCTCAGGGAAGGTGTGGGTGCTTCGCATTTCTTCTGAGGGAGACGACCTCGTCCGATGGACTAATCATGCGTGGCCTGGAGCCAAGCCGTAAATCTAAATGATTGAAATGAGTCATGATGCACGGCTGCATTCATTAAGGCTGATTAGCTCAGCTTACCAGTCCATTCGTTTTCTCCTTCTTCTTCTCGGGTTTTCTAAATTTCAGTTGTGATCTGAGGCAAATCGGTCAAATACTGTTAGGAAAATAAATAGATGAACAAGTAAATTTACAACTGAATTTTTAAATATATATATATATATATAAAGAGTACAGGAACATCTGTGCAGAATATGGACCGGAAGCCCCGAGGTCAAAATGGGGGACACCCCCAAAGGTGGTGGAGAATGACCGAGCTAAGATCCTGTGGGACTTCCAGATCCAGACAGACAAGATGGTAATGGAGAACCAACCGGACATTGTGGTGGTGGATAAAGAACAGAGGAAAGCCGTTGTGGCTGTAGCAATACCAAGTGACCACAACATCAGGAAAAAGGAGAAACTGGAGAAATACCAGGGCCTCAGAGAGGAACTGGAGAAGGCCTGTGGTGCCTGTGGTCATCGGGGCCCTCGGGGCAGTCACCCCCAAACTTGAGCAGTGGCTAAAACAGATCCCAGGAACATCATCAGACATCTCAGTCCAGAAATGTGCAGTTCTAGGCACAACCAAGATACTGGAGGGACCCTCAAGCTCCCAGGCCTCTGGTAGAGGACCCGAGCTCAGAGGATGAAAGAGACCACCCACGGAGGGTGAGAGGGGAATTTTTATATATATATATATATATATATATATATATATATATATATATATATATATATATACCAATGGTTGGAGAAAGCTGGACTCAAGGACAGCACAGAGG